CAGAGAGAGGCAGAGAGAGGCAGAGAGAGGCAAAGAGAGGCAGAGAGAGGCAGAGAGAGGCAGAGAGAGGCAGAGAGAGGCAGAGAGAGGCAGAGAGAGGCAGAGAGAGGCAGAGAGAGGCAGAGAGAGGCAGAGAGAGGCAGAGAGAGGCAGAGAGAGGCAGAGAGAGGCAGAGAGAGGCAGAGAGAGAGAGGCAGAGAGAGAGGCAGAGAGAGAGGCAGAGAGAGAGGCAGAGAGAGAGGCAGAGAGAGGCAGAGAGAGGCAGAGAGGCAGAGAGGCAGAGAGGCAGAGAGGCAGAGAGAGGCAGAGAGGCAGAGAGAGGCAGAGAGGCAGAGAGGCAGAGAGAGGCAGAGAGGCAGAGAGAGGCAGAGAGGCAGAGAGAGGCAGAGGCAGAGGCAGAGGCAGAGGAGGCAGAGGCAGCAGGGTGAGGTCAGAGAGAGGAGAGGGAGGATGGACTGAGACCCATTTGCTCAGCCTCTGGAGTTTAGGTGAGAAGTTAGTTCTAGCAAAAGGTTGGATAGGTTCTTATCTCTCTCCACTGTGTCCCCTGCCTGTTTCTCTGTGATCTGTTCGTGTGTGTGTGTGTGTGTGTGTGTGTGTGTGACTGAATTGAGATGTCCTGGGCAGGGGTCATCCCCAAGGCATGGGCACTCCCTTGTGAGGAGAGACCCAAGCTTGGATCAAAGCTGTTTCCATATAGCTGTGCCTGTAGACACCTAAGGCAACACCTCAGAGCATCCATTCCACATCTCTGTAGTGCAGGATGTAGGAAGACCTGATTCTTCAAACACGTGAAGAAATATCTTAAACTGGACCCTTCTCTGCCCCACAGTGAACACTGTCTGTGGGGTGTTCATAAACTGGGAGTCAGGTGATAGCATGACATGAAACTACTTGTCCCCAACACAGAGAGAAGCCCTACACTAAGTCCCACACCAGGGAGACACCTGTGCACTGTGGGAAAGGCCCACAATAGATAGGGCCCAAGAAGGATGTGGGACACTTGAGTCTTTGTTTTGTTAGGACCCAGAAGAGGTGTTCTGCACCTGTCCAGGTGACACCTGTGGACAGGTGACACAAGAAGGCCACAGGAGGAGGGATACCCTGATGTGTCACTCTTAACTGGGCAGGTGGTTGAGGTCCAGTGCCCTCATTAACCTGGCTTTATAAATAAGTACAACTTCATGCTGTCCACAATCTGTTTTGTTCAGTGATTTTTATGGTCTGTAGTACTTACTAATGTTGGTTACAAAGTTTCAACCCGTCTTAGCTATTTAAGGAACCAAGATGACAAACTTTTGTCCCATACACTTTTCTATTTCGGGGCTGCCCACATTTGAGCTGTGTGACCATGGATAAATTGTTTAATGTCTCTGAAACGCAATTGTTCCTTCTGGGGTCATGACACCTGCTTCCTAGAGCTGTTATGGGATTTTGTGCTTCTGCAATATCCATTCTTTTTCTAGAGTGGGTCCAGTTTTGTTTGTCAGAGAGTTTTGTATTTTGTAGTAAGAAAGATATCTTGTCATGACTTCTCCCCTGACCCCAAAGAAGAACAGAAGAGTTGAGGAAGGGAAGGCTGAGCACTGGAGAGGATGCCGGGAGGGTGTTTTTCCAAGGATATACTCACCTCCATGAGGGAAAAACTGAGCGTAGATCTGCTTGAATGTCTCTTCATTGACCACACCACTGGGGCACTCCTGTGTGGGGGAGAGAGAGTGGGAAGTGTCTGGGAGCCTGTACTATGGGGTGGAGACTGGGAAAGTTCCTCATGCCCTCTCCTGGGCAGAGACTGGGAAACACATGTGTACTGGGTATCTTCAGGAAGGTCTTGGAGGTCACTCTATCATGAAAAGCTGATTTGCAAGTGAAGGGAAGTCATCACAGAATTGGGACTGGGCTGGGAGAGTCTTGGCTTTAGGGCTAGAAAAGTCTAGGTTTGGATCCTGGTTAAGCCTGCTCTAAGGTTTTTGACTTTGTCCAAGGTGGCCTGTGGTCTTGAACACACCCATGGAATGTGGTTAACAGTTCCCTCAATATTGGATAATACTGAGATGTCAAAATAGTAAGTGGAATTCCTCCTATTTTTTAGTCCCCTCTCAGTCAAATGCTCAATTGGGCAACAACTTCCCAGGGCCTTGCTCCACCTCAGTTGGCTACTCTTAACATGGCCTCTTCAGCATTAGAAAGAACAACATCCAACGATAGCAAATCAGACACATGACCAACATAGTCAAGCTGTAGGACAATTGACCTGGTTCCAGTTGGAGGCTGCGCCTAGAGGAAGGTGACCAGAACAGGTCTTCTGCTTAACTCCACCCAGTGATTTGGGACTAAGAATGTGCTCTAAGACGTAAGCTTTAAATCCAAACTCCATATCCAAGCTGGGGTAAGAGAACTCTCAAAGCATCCCAGGAGACAGCGCTGGCCTCAGCATGTGTCAGTTTTGAACCTCCTTCCTTACACACTCCTTTGCTAAAAACGTGACTGTCTGGCACACAGAAAAAGAAGGTCACAGCAGTAGGACAGGAGTGTTGGTCCCACTATCCTAACTTTCCAGAGAAGTGAACACTGTGGCATTTGGGCTTACTTGTCAGTCTTTGCGGGCCTCATTAGCACGAAGCAGTATAGTTCAAACTCAATGCTATTTGGACACCAGAGGGTAAAGAGTGACAAGCTAAGGTTGCATCTTGGCTGAGAGGGCTTCTCTGAGGTCACACCACCCTGTGGCACCTCTTGGCAGTGGGTGAGGCTTCTGTCTGTTGAGGTCTTATCCTCCTGTCAGCTAACTTTCTCACGCCAGGGGGGTGGGGTTCATAGCAGCGGCCTTCCCGAATCTCTACACTCTGGGGACCTCCTTGGCATAGGAAAAGCTTAGTCAAGTGGCAAAAATCACAGCAGGCTTACAAGTGTGTGTGTGGGGGGTGGTCTTACGTTTTTGAATCCCCGGTAAAGGACTTGCAGTTCTCTCTTGGTGAAGTTCGTCTGTGCCTCCAGCTGCTCCAGTCCCTCAGGCCGGTGGCAAACCATGGTCATTTCTAGCTCATCCTCGATCTTGTCTGGAAGCAGAGAGGATGGTGTTAGAACGTGATCTCCTTGGTTTCAGTCGGACCATAGTCTGAACTGTTCAAAGAGTGATGTTGGGAACCAGAACTTTGGGCTTGGGCTGGATCACACTGCAGGTGGTCCTGGGCCTTGAACCCCACTCCCCTGCCCACTCACTCCGTTTTGCAATCTGTCCTCTGTGTTACTCTGGCTGTGACAGACCACAAAGCGGAGGGACCATCAGCATCTCAGATAGGAAGCTGAGGGCAGAAGTGTTTAGAACACAGCCACAGGAACACACCTCTTTAAAATGACCTTCTTTGCATATTCAAAGCGATGCTCACTAACACTACTCTCTGTGCAGAGGCCCAGGTAACTGAGACCTTCCAAATAGCAAAGGGAAGAAATTGAAACTATTTTCAAAAGGGATGAAGTTTCCCCATGTGGGCTAGCAAGGGGGATGCTAGGGAGACAGTAGGAACTTCAAATTATTCTATGTTAAGTATGAGTTTAAAGAATCTGAATGTATTTTACACGGTATTGTTCTATAATATCTGCTAGGTCTCCTTAAGTGCCAGGGAAGTGACTTCAGTGTGAGCATCTTTGCATAAATAAACGTTTCCAGGGCGTTTGAAAGACTCTAGAAACAGTCATAGAGAGTAGGGTTCAACCTCCTGCATGTGCTGAAACGGTTGTCTAATAGTGCACTGTTTGTTTGCAAAGTGCCTGTCAGCTGAATCTACTTATCTTCCTTCGAAGCAATTCAAAGTTCATCCATCAGTGGCGCTTCCAGCAGCTCAGCCCCACACAGGGATGAGTGAGTACTCACTTTCTTTGGGCCCTGCCAGAATACTTTCTGTAAATCTATTCCAGGCAAGGATCATTTACCATCTACCCTACTCTGCCTGTTGTCACACAGACATCAGCAAATCCATATATTGAATAACTCCAACTTCCACCTTGTGAAAAACAGGGTGAGCTGAGCAGGCTGCTGGGAACACATGAACCACCCAGCACCATGGCAAGTCAGAGAGGGGGCAGGCTGGGTTTGCATCACAGAACGGGTGAACAGGTCCAGTGACTGTAGGCGTTCTGTAAGGGGGATGGGCTCTTTGGGCCATATTTCCTACACTACTGTGACACTTAAATCCCAACACAAATAAATCCATCAAAATTTATATCTTGAGCAGAATCCCAGTGATAATGGATGTTACAGTAAGCCTCAATAATGTGGTAGCCGAGCCTAATTGTTATCTTTCTTACTTGCTGGGTACCGCACATCACCTAATCCTTCTGGGACTGAGGCAGATAATGATTCAATATAAATAAGATACTCTGTTTATGTTACATTGTGGCAAGTGGTCAATTTCCTCACGACTCTTACAAAGCCTTCATTTGTTGTTAAGTTTGTAGCTAATGAGTTAAGTACCAATTACCTAACTGCAGAAGGCTTCTGTGTAAATCAAAGGGCCAGCGTCCAGAAAGAAAAGCAAGGGAAGGGAGGGTGTGCACATAGGTGGAATGTGGAAAACTCAGTGTCTCGCGAGATCTCAAACTCATCTCAAGAAATCAGTTGCTGGTTAGTCTTAGCACAAAAATGCCTGTGTCTTTAACTGTGTATATTCTGAAGAAACTTCGGAGGGGCTGTAGAGGCTTACAATATATCCCACATATTGCCTGCCCCCAGGATCCACTGGAAATTCTCAGGTAGCCCCAGTAAAGGAAAAAGATTAGAATATAAATATTAAATTATAAATAAAATAAAAAACTATATTTTGGAAAGAGATGGTTTATTTTCGAAGGACTGTACCTGCAAATATTTATCTGACCCAGGAGAAAAAAAGATGTTTTTATGTATACGTGAGTGTGTGGTGTTGTGCTGTTTCTTAGCCTCCTGTGCCTGATTCCTTATAAGCTAAGGGGATTATAAACTTTCTTTGCAGAAGTTTAAAGGAATTTTTTTCCATTTGGAACCAGCATTCACTTCTTATCACCTTGCTTAAAAAGTGCTAGTTATTGAGTCACCAACTACTAAACCCACTTTATTAAGATGAGGAGTTACTCCTGATTAGCCAGTGATAGGCTTGCTATCTGAGATGCAGGATTGAGTTCCAGGTTAAAGAGATTCTAAGGGCTTTAGGCACTCCATTGTTGATGGGGAAACTTTTGTTTTCCAGCTTTGCCCTTCACTAATGATCAGTCTGTGGTCACATGCATGATGGGAGAAATTTAGGTTGTTGGGGGCTCAAGATGTAGGGAAGTAGACACCCATGGATAGTAGGGGCTTAAACCAGTAAGTAAACGTGTAACTTATATGACAATCCAGGATATGCATAAATGCATGGAAAATTGTCATGAAATATTTTGAAAGTAAAACTTCATGAGGCAATGCTGTCTCTGACTGATGTGAGATGTCCTTCAGCCTCGGCAAACGTATGCTGCTCTGACTCTCATGAGTCATGGCCTTTCACTGGAAAACAATAATTTAACATGTCCACAGCTTTTGCAACTGTCTAGACTTGCCCACATCTGGACACTTCTCTCTTTCACACCACCTCGTAGGCTTATTGTTCTGGGCCACTGTAAATATATCTATTTTGGAAGGGTGATATTTACATCTCTCCTGTCCACTCAGGGACTCTCTAGATGTCTCAGGACAGAGCCAGTAGAGGGAAGACACTGGCCTAGCTCCCTGGTTAGACAGAATCAGAACTAACACACAAGAGGCTTCCTTACTGTTGTTTTTGTGAGTCTTTAATGCCAAAATGCTGCTTGCTGTTACTATTTTCATTATTAAAGATAATGATGAACTAATTATTAAGCCAGACTGAGTTCAGATCAAAGTTAATCTTGAGGTTAATGCTATGGGAAATTCTGTTTGATAAAAATCAATGAGATTATTTTCTCTTTGTAATGTTCTTTTAGAACTGCTTTCTTGTGACTCTGTGTATGGTGGGGGTGAGGAGTCTGGTGCCCTCCCCGCTTGATATTTAGAAGTCAGCTCCCTTAATAGAAAAGGTAATTTTCTAACTTCAAGTGGCTCACAAGGTGATGAGTGCCTACCACTAGGGTGAGTGTGAGCCAGAACAACAGACTGTACAGAATGATGCAGTGGAGAGCCCCAGACAAAACCGCGGATGATTCCGAGTAATCTCTAAAAAATATTTTAGGGTTTCAGGTTATTCAGGGTATAGGATAGATGAAAATTTTAGACCCTCTTAGAAAAATCGTTTTGTCCCCTATAACGCCAGTGAGTTCTGTATCTTTTGAACAGAGTCCATGCAACCATCTTCTGTTGTAATTCTTCCCCAAGCTCCACCACTGATTCATTCATTTTGTCTGAGGCTCGGGTCACATAAGCCAACAATGACAAAGCGGACCTTTAACTGCAGCCAGTCCAGGACTATTCTGTTAGATTTGGCCTCCCTGTTTCCCCTCGGTGACTTTATTGAAGCACAGATGGTAAGCTGGTTTGTGACCAGCCTTGAGGTACTTCTGCTCCTAAGAAGCATCACGCCTGTTTAAAAGTCAGGTCCACAGATAGACTGTGAACGGTAGAGGTCTGCATCTGGAGGTACACACCACTGAAGTACCTTCTCTGGAAGATGACAAAGTCCATGACCCAAAACTATGACCATTGCCTTCCTGCTTAGAATGCAGTTTCTCCAGTTTGTGTGTGTGTGTGTGTAGTGTATGTGTGTGTGTGTGTGTGTGTGCCCACTGCACACATGTAAGCTCATTCCTGTTGGGCAGAGGCAGGATCTGGGCTGTACTTTATACCCCCACCCACCCACCCACCCACCCACCCATCTATTCCATTTTGAGGTTACAAAATTGTGATCCTCTTAGCTTGAATGTAGTTCTAAGAGAGGTTTTGTAAGAAATACATAGAAGCTCCTATTTTATATGAAATAAATAAAATACATTTGAAACTAGTTGCCAATGTTTATAGAAAAGAAATCCACAACCAAGTTTGTACTTCATATTTCTCTTGGAAAATCTTGAGTCTCAAATTCTCACCAGGGTATTATCTGGTGGAGCTGAGCAGGGGCTAGATAACCTGTCACTCACCTAGTTCTCCCACTCCCTCTTCCCTCTCCCCCTCCCCCTTCTCTCTTTCTCCCCCTATCTGAGACAAAGTATTGCTATGTATTCCTGGCAGTCCTGGAACTTCCTCTGTAGATCAGGTTGGTCCTGAACTCACAGAGATACCGGCGTCTGCCTCCTTAGTGCTGGGATTAAAAGTGTGCACCATCACACCTGACTTCACCTTGGGCTCTTTTAACACACACAAGCTGTCTCCTGGTTTGGGGCCGTTGAGTGTGGGTCCTCCTGCACAGCTTCCTCACCTCTCTGCCCCCCACTTTTCTCCTGTCTCAGCCACACAGCCTGTTCTCTCACAGTCTGCCTATTTAAAGTCTCCACTCTGTCTCACAAAGACCATGACGTGGATCA